CTAAAAAAGTACTTTTGTTTGTTTGCGGGGAAGTGAGTTCATTCAGACTGGACAGGGTTTATAGACAGACCCGGTTCAATGAGTGACATTTGACGGCCGAAACACCAATAATTTTGTGGGGGTTCCAATGGAGTGCGATTGGTTGGATTCACTTGAAGTTGAAATATTATAGATTCCAATTTCGGATACCGTGGAACAGGTAAAGCAGCGCGATTGCTCTGCGTTGTATTCTGCCAGTTCCGACTGATTTGATACAGAAAGATTATAGCACTGTGATTTTTCTGACTCTATGGCCTTCAAGCCAGTGGAAGTGAGAGCAATTGGCCTGAAACGTATCGCAACTGAGGCCTGTGTTGTTCCTTTTGGGACGGGTGTAATGCACCCCTGGCGCCAGCATTCTGGAATGGTTTGAAGTTCCAGTATGCGTATTTGTGTGTGTGTGTGTGTGTGTGTGTGTGAGTGCAAAAATCTGAGACAATATCTCTACGCTGTGTTGAAAAAGTGTGGGACCAAAGTTGTCTGTACAAGGTGCGGTTGATACCTTGAGAGAATGCATATATTTATACTTTTCATCAAAGGTGATGTGTCCCAACGAAGATGCGGTGTTTGGAAAACTCGAGACCTTGTAACTAGGGTGTGTCAGACAGAATGAATCGACGCAGCATTTAGTTTTTCGATATCTGTAGAAGAACTGGAAATCATTTTCTTATGGCTATAAATAATTTTTGTTGCACGCCACAAATTGGCGATCGCTGGTCCCAAAAGTCTGGTTTGCATATAGGGAATCATTAAATTTTCTGGGGGACCTAGTTTAAGCTATGGCAGATTTATCTGAAACTCGTCTTTCGCCTTGTAGTCAGTCGCTGTTTAGCTGAAAAAAAATAATCACTTGCTACTGCCTGTTAGCCAGACTTCAAATATCAGGTGCACTTATCTGTGTATTGGTCAAACTTTTTTATTCCATGAAGTTTCTCATTCACTGGATCCCTGCTTTCAGGGAGAGTCTCTCGTTCATTTCCCGCAATTCTCACCGTAAACCGTGTACTGTTTTTCTCCTTTGTCAGCATTCTTAGAATTGATCAACAACATGCTCACAACCGGATTTGTTAGTGCTCTGTTCAGTGAGGATGAGAAAGACGCCATCCAGCAGAATATTTGGGCGGAGGCCGAAGCACGAATACGTGCTGAGGCTCTGGCCAGTGGAGCAATAAATGTACCCATTAATAAAGAATCTGTGTGGAACTATTTCAAAACAGATTGCGCTTCTCGATTGCATCTTGTGCTCTGCATGAACCCAACAGGTGACACGTTGCGTACTCGATGTCGTGATTTTCCGGGGATTACAAAATGCACTACCATTGATTGGTACTTCCCCTGGCCCGAACAAGCACTGTATGCCGTTGCATGCAGTTTGATTGATCCAAAGGTATTTATCCATTCAGTTGAATCATTACTTCAGGGAAATATTTTATGTATTTCGGTGTTTCAACTTATATGCAGTAAATAATTTCGAAAACTTTAGTGAATTTACGACTAATGACCAACGATTGTACCCACTGTTTGAACTTTGCTAGTGTTGCAGACTCGAAGCTTGTCCGCGGTGTGAGCGTGTTTCTATGGTAGATTAAGTGACGGCATCAGTGGGTATTATAACGCAGGCCAAATCGGATACTGTTGAATTACGGTAAACGATTATACAGGAAGATAAGCATTGAAAATTGGATCAGATCGTACTGTAGGAACGGCAGGCAGATTGGTCGGGGTTGAGCTGGTGACTGGGGGCGTTAAAACTCTAATGAAAATATATGAAAATCACCGTTTTGTGATTGGGATGTTTATAGAAATAAGAAATAGTAGATTAATAGTTTACAAACCACGTACAAGAATAACGAAATAATTTTTAAATAGGTCAGGGAAATCCACAGGGTAACAGCAAAGTATGACAAGAAAAATGCACTAATAAAGAGGAAAATACAATCGAATGCTTCACTCTGCTTTGTCTTATCTTGTATATCACGAGTTCGCTATTTGGATTAGAAGGCCAACTATCAATAGAGCTTTTCTTCACGCAGTGTTCATCTCAGTCTGACCCTTAGAGCTAGACCACGAAGGGATGATCTTACATGTCTGAGTTCGTGGCGTTCCAGAACCTGTAGCGATGCATTACTGATGATCAGTAATAAAGTTGAAGAAGCCGCCTATTGCTGTGAGCTATCTCAGAATCATGTGTTGTACTTTTGTACTGGTATTTTAGGAAGAATACAAAGCACCATCGATTACAGGAAAAAAGTATATATATATATATATATAATGACATACATAGCTCACCCCGAAGATTCTACTTCAAGACTGTCCGTCCTATTCAGTAGAAAACAAGCTTAGCTACTCTAATTACGAGAATGATTCTGGAGGCTCAAGAAGCGGAGGATTAAATGATTCCGACGAAAAGCGCTACGCATCCGGGATTCCATGCTAACGCAATTACTTCACTGTCACGGACTGAGATGGTTTGGGCATGTTTCGCAAATCAACCGACAGGCTTTGTTCGTTGGGGTGGTCTGTTGTTACAAAAATATTCGAGAACTGTTAACGTGAATTAGTCATGACTGAGATCTGTGAACTTGGTCAGGAGGATGAAAATGTAAGCTTTTCATAATGAAAGTAAAACCGTAAATATAATTCCTGTTCCCTTTTGATGTAGCTCGTGTTGTTGTCTGATCAATCTGGGCCAAGTACAAGCCAGTTTGTATAGCTCCGAGTAACGATCATGTGGCAGTGTCAAGTTTCTCCGCAATTTTAAATGAAAAAAACCGACTGATTGCAAGTTTAATGGAGTAGAAAATGAAACACAAACAGAAAATTATTTTTATCAAACTTTGTGCAGATCGGAAGTTAATCAATGTCATTGTCTCGTTCCTCTTTCATGTCCCNCCTCAAACATCTCTCTTTGTGTACGATTTCAGTTCAGTCAAGTTCCAGTCGCCCATTGGGAATCGGTTGTGACCAACGTGGTCAACATTCACCGGTCAGTGCAAATGGCATCAAACGAATTCAAACGACAATTGCGTCGCATCAATTATGTGACAGCGACTAATTATATTCTGTTCATCAACGGATTTCTTAAACTGTTGGATGAGAAAACCAAGTGAGTGCTGATCGAATTCATTATGTATCGATCTGATATACCTTTGTTTTATGGGGATTTTGTCAGTAGGTAGCCAAACTGTGGATGTACTTGCGATAAAATAATTGTTAACATCAATAAATCACTGTGGTAGAAGAACGTCGTGATAAACAAGCCTGTAGAATGGGCTTCATTTTACACGAACCCAAAGGAAGCATGAATTGAAAGACGGAGAAGCACTGTGTAGTTGCTTCGAATTAGCGGGGTCTTAACAGTAGTGCAAACCCATCCATCTAATTTGGGATGAATCCTGGGCCCTTACCGTTGGAATCCAAGCACACTGTTCTCCTAATCACCAGCCGCTGATCAGACTATTCTACTTAGCCATATACACCACATTACACAATCCATGTGTACTGCGAGGAGCTAACTTTGTTTTTCCTTGCGTTAGCCTCCATGGGTTGATTCTGTTAGAAACGTTCCGAACTTGACCAGGACTTACTATAAGCTATCCACTGTTCAAGTGAGTACCTATGCCCCCGGTTGGATCCTCATTTTTCATGCAGTTGTTTATTGCTTCTTCGAAGTCGTTTGTATCGTCATTTATTCTTAGACACTCACACCAGAGCACAGGTCGGCTTCATGATTGTCTCTGATTATGGCTGCTCATGAGCGGCAGTCGAAGGTCAGCGCAGATTTCTAGCCAGTGTTGATCCCAGTTTCGAGGGTCATTCACTGCTTGTAGGCCCAGGTACTCCAGGCCATTCCGGGCCATGGTAGTCAGGTCTTCAGTAGGTCACCGGAGTGGAAACCCCACGTTGAGCAGGGTGTTGGGGCAAGGCATACCCTTTAAGGATGTCACCGTAGACGTATCCGTTGCAGGAGAATGCCTAAAGCTTGTGGTGACTCAAAATTCATGGAAATCGTTGAGGATCCATTCTTACCTTCGCAATTTCGCTGCTCGATGTTGATAGCACCGATCTAAGGATTCCACCATTTTGATATCCTCGGCTTTAAATGGTCAAGTTTCGCATTTTTATGTGGGGTGAATCTCGACCATCTATAGACACACCGCTCGATTTTAAGGCGTTGTCTCATTGACACTTGCACTAACAGAAGAGCTCTTCTAGCGTTCCTGATGCGACTGTTGGTTGGTCGCTCGACAGCAAGACTGACACCATCTCACAAAATTCCCCTACGACTGGGACAGGGATTGTTGAGGGTATTTTCTACATCTGGAAGAAACATGGACAGTTATTCGTGATTAGCGCTCTTGCAGATACTCATTTTCCACACAGATGTAGTATATTTGGTTTTATTTCTTCTGCTTACTCTTCCCTCATCAATTCATTGGATAGGTGTCCAAATTACAACAACCGAAACCGTCGCATGGCAATCAAACGTCACTCGTTGTATGAATTGGAACCAAATCCGATGTACTTCAATACAGTGACCGGCGTACTGATTCACTTTACCACGACTAGTGGTGTCTGAACGCACAAATCAAATAATGCGGTGATTAAAAACATGACCAAATGTGTGAAAAGTGTCTGGTAGACACCATAGCTATTGTCATGCTGCATACCATGCATATGCAACTAGTTTCCCAAACAGTTCACTACTTCCAAATTCAAAGAATAGTCTTTTAGGTCCTATAAGCAAACACATTTTTATGACCATAACGCTCTTGTTGTTGTCACAGGTCTTATGGACTGTGTTTCGTAAATCGTAGTTAAAGTACTTTCTATTCATTATCTTCCTGTAGCGATAGTGTTCTTGCTAAAGTGGTACCTGTGAATATAAGCGATCTGGTGAGCTACGGGTAGCTAACCGATTGGGTGGAGAGAAGAGGCAGATTTGAGACCTGCCAAACAGGGGGACATGAAGTTGACCCTAGCTGAAGAGGTTTTTGAATTAGTGGAACCATAGGTTGTGTTGAGCTTCCTGGATGCGAGAGCAGCGGATCAAGAGTGGGCGATCTATCCGATTGAACAGAGACCCCAACTGAATTGCTGTCTTCGCATACCGTCTCGTTGTCTTGTGAACCATGCTTTGGCTAGCTGAAGACTCCGAATGTAATTCCCTAAGCTAAACATTGGTTTTAGTTTGAACAACCCAACAGATCATGGACGTGTTGGATTGCCATAGCAATGGTTTTACCATGGTCTGTTTGGTACGTAGACAATTGTGAAATGCACGCATACTGTTAATTTGAATATGATCTGTGGTTTACAATGAATAATGATATGCAATATAACGTGAAATTGTTTATTAACGTGAATGGGTAATAATATCTGAAATCGATTCATTTCTCATATGATCTGTCTGTATCACTCCCGGAAAGTGAAAACATCTCGCAACAGAGGCGATTACAAGGCGGATTGGAGAAACTACACGAGACTGCGATTCAAATTGAACAGTTGAATGTGAAGCTGGCTGTACAAAAAGTCATCCTCGAGGAGAAGACCACCTCGTGCGAATCCTTGATGAATGAGATTAATGAGTCCACGGAGGTGGCCACCGCAAAAAAGACACAGGCACAAGAAAAATCGGTCGAATTGGGCAAGCAAGCCAAGATCATTGTGGCTGAGAAGGCAAGCTGATGCTGATGACCCGTGTGCATTTGTCTGTTTAAATTTGTTTTAATTCACGACTAGATAACTCTAGAGACAAGGGGATGAGTGTCAATGAGGGAAGAAGAATTGCCTTGTTGGGTGGAAAATAAATTCATTTGAGTCACTGAAGCAGTGGTTTAGGTGGTTGAGCAAGAGGTTGCTATCAGGATATGATTTGTGACGTCAAAAATCCTGTTATTGGATTTTAAACTAAGACTGGCAAAGTCACAGACTGCTACACATTCCAATAGCCAAATGGCGAAAAATGGGTGTTTTTTGTGAACTGGATTTGCGCGCGCGCACTACCGGTTTGCTTGTTCGTCACTCCCCATACTAAGATGAGCAGATCGCACACTCGTGATGATATTGTTCCCATGTCATATTTGCCGGACAGAGATATGAAAACCGACGAAAAAAGGTGTACGGTTTGCAGTGCACTGACGTGCTTTCGAATGCAGTGTGATACCGGCTCCGCTACTACTAGTGCCCTGACTGTGGCTCACTGCTGTTACTATGATATGGGTGAGTTACGCAACAATTAGATATTCTAGGTTGATATATGGAGCACATTGCTGCAGATGTCTTTGTTCTATTGGACAGTGTATCACATAATAGAGATTACTACTGGTGAAATCACAAGCATTTGCATGATTATCCGTAGGATAACCACGCTCAACTTTTCTCCTCGATGGAATGTTGAATACTCCTGTTTTGTAGCGTGCTCTTTTCATTAAAATACCCTCATGGATATATTCCTAAGTGATTTTGTTGCATATTAATCATGCTTTGAAGAATAATTGAGTCCGTTTTCATATTATTTGCACACCACCAACTCCCCCCCCCCTCTTACCCCTTCCCCCTCCCCTGCATTATGCAAACCAACTACGAACAGGCGGAGGCCGAAGCGGCGTTGGCGGAGGCACTTCCGGCGGTCGAAGCAGCCCGGCACGCATTGGACGATTTAGAGAAAAATGATGTCACCGAGATTCGAGCATTCGCCACTCCACCGAAACCGGTAAGTTCAAAAACCAAAGAGGTGTGGGTGAATGAGTGAGGGTTAGAAAAACAATTTCTGTATTGGATTGACGTCCGACGATTGAGTGTCTCGTAGAAAATGATCACCAAGCCCAGAAAAAATACCAGGGTTGGAAATCTGTACGTACCCGATGAGAGAAGAAGAAATATGTATTTATAACTATAACTATAGTATCAAAGGTTGATGAGAGGAAAGGGACGTGCCAAGGGTTAAATATTACTAGGAAATGAAGTGGCTCCGTATGTGAATAATTTACTGAGACTTGCGCTGATCACACATTTATCCGGCTTGTGCCATTTCAGTCAGCAATAAAGCACTGCACATTTCCTTTGTTGAGTAGTGCATGCAATAAGGAACAAAGTGGTTCTGTCCTTGTTTGGACACATCTGCGGTGCATGCTTTGTGCTACTCACGGAACACGGTCAGCAGTAGTTGGTGTTGGAATCGAATGAGTAATGAAGTAAAGGTATTCAAGGACTATAAATTGGGCGAATGCCGTTTACATTTTTCACTTTCTGTTCAGTCACCATTATTGGAAAAGCATAAGACAATTTTTCAAACACGAGGAACAGATGCAATGTTCAAAACATTTCCTTTAGTGCTCAGCCTTTTATTGTTCATGTATTACATCTATTTTGATTGATAGACTAATCAAAAGCCGATAACATGATAGTGATGATTGAGTAGGGACATATTCGGAAGTTTTTTTTCGTTTCATCAATTTTGCAGATTTTACATCCTTGAACTACATTGTACTGGTACAGTACCGTACTCTATGTGTGTTTCAATCGAATCAGATCTATCACAATATGTGTCTCGTGTTCTCGTTTCATTTGATCAGGTACAAATGGTCGGAGAAGCGCTGTGTCACGTGCTCCAGTCCGGTGAAATTAGTTGGAAAGCTGCACGTGGTTTAATGGCTGATGCTAATTTTATCAGCACCCTTCAACAGTTGGATGTGGAACAGATCCCAGTAAAAAATATACAAAACTTGAAAGGTAAACACTGAGACTAGAATGAAAATTTTGTCTTCTCCGAGCCTTCTTACACCATCTTGACTGACGTCTTTTCTCCTATAGTTACATTGAAAACAAAGCCCGGTGTGCGAAACAATATTTTTTACAGTGATTCATCAGTTTTCAATACAGTTAATGAAGGGATATTTGTGATTTCGTTCTTAAATACACGTCTCAGACAATGCACAGCTAGATATATTATGTGTGCATCAACATACTCAGTATCTCGGCTGAGTCACTAGCATATATATGTAAGGGAGCGACTCGGGGTTTCATCTTGTGTAGTTGATTCCCTTCGTCTATACTATCTAAACAGGAAACTGGCTGTTTGGAATAAACTTCACCAGTCTTGGATGTCATTACAGACACGCAAATTTCGTCTCTTGTGAATAAATTCAAGTCATTCGTGATTTGTTACAATTACAAGAAAGTTATCTGTTGTTGTTTTTCTGAAACTCATTGGTAAGAGAACAAGAGATAAATTAATCATTTTGCGCAATGAATGTACCTTGAAATGCATGGATAAGCGACGTTTCCGCTGTTCCAATATGACTATAGATTCATCTGTTCCTACACTGTTTACGCTGCAAGATTTTACGCATTCAGTTAGCTTCCTTACAGAAAGGACAATAGAGTCTTCCTTTAAACGACGTATGTCGTCTGCCATACGTAATACCGTGATTGGAAACTCACAGTGATTTCACACACTTCGAAGTTATACGGTTACCTCATTGGATTTTCTTTTGTTCGATGTCCATCAGGTTGAAACACCGTTTCCCACCACAAATTTAAATGAGGACCATTTTGCTGCTATGGTACAGATAGCAGTCAAAACGATTTCTTAGTTCGTAACATAATGAAATTGTTCAAGTCCCGTCCGTACATTTTCAGAAATCCGATATGCGCAAACCGTAGGAATGGCTTCTCAAGTTTAACCTGCCTTGGGAGATGTGAAAATGAATTTTTCTGTATACACACAACTGCTCGAATGCTCGTCTTATCTCCCGCCAGCCGGATTACTCACGACTTGTGCATAATGCTGTCCCGTTCACATTTGACGTTTTACCACATGTCGAGGGGACTTGAGACTAAACCACATGTAGCAATGCATGCGTGTTTCCTTACGCATTGTTCTAAGCAGTAGGGTTAAAAGAATAAGAGACATATTTCGTGTGTAAATCAACACTCAAACAGGTATGACTGACAATGAGGCCTCTGTGTTCAGACTTGCAGGGGAAACGTGACGAGAGATTGTTTATTGAGATCGACGCGAGGTGAAATGCAGTGGGATTGCTCCATCGTTTTCGATCGTATCATTCCTCTCACCCCTGACCCTAAGCAAGTAAATTCCTTCTGCCCCCTAGTGCGATCTGATTGGATCATATTCCGCGATCTGCGGCGCTTAAAATCTCTCACTCCAACACGAGCCTGTCTGATTACCGATGTGTACGTTTTGTAATGCCTTGTTGTTACGTCAAGTTCATCCGAGTGCTGGTGACACCCCTGCTACACAGTCGAAGTTCACTGGGCCTGCCTGAGACTCACAGCAGTAAAAAAGGTGTGGTTTCTCGCTCGGGTTAGCTAGGTAAGCACCAGGTCCCTCGATGCGGCTGAACCATTCGACCGATCGATAAATGAACCCAATCGGTCGTGTGATTTTCAGGCCGGCACAGAAGGAGGATAGGTCCCGAATCCGATGCTGCCTAATTGTTGGTAGAGAATCACCCCAAGCGAATGCGTTGTGGAGCGGTGCACCATGTGGGAAATTCCGAATGGAAAATGCTTAAGCGGTTATGACACTGGGCCAACGCTTGATACACGCACTATTTTTCGAAGCGGGTTCGGTAAACAGATAATCATAATAAAACTTTGAACTTGTCTTATTAACAGACAACAATATCCCCACGCAAAACTCTTCTTGATTTTTTTCCAACTGGTTGTTTTTGCGTTGAACAATCTGGCTAACTACCTCGGAGATAGGATTCTGAAAGAAAGAAAGAACAAATATTACGGAGAAATTATATTCATATCATAAAAGATGTCCCACATGTTTTCCATTCTGCTGCTTGCATAGTATAGAACCGGGGATACGGCAATCACGGCTCATTGGATCGAGTCCGAACATCTTGTTCTCGTCAATCCGCGACTAGGCTAACTGGGGTGGTGTTCTCGAATAGACAATGAATTACGATGGAGCAATCGCACTGTATGTCGAGGTTCCAAGCATAGAGAATAATGAGAACGAACGAGAATGGATCAACATGTAGGAGATGCGGAAGATTGATAAGCATTCCCAAGACGAACTTTACACAGGAAGATGCACTTCTGTCAGTCGGTTTCACTTCATTTGAACTTAAAGAAACACGACTAATGATCAATAGACCTCGGCGTGAAAACCTAAGGTCGTTGGTTGAAAAATCAAATTGCTTACATCACCTCTGTGAATAAACTAGGAATTTGGGAGTCTAAACGATCATTTCATTTATACCATGTGTTATATCAGTGAGTCAGTTACATTGTATATACCTGCACTGTAGATCTGATCGCTAAACGAAAGGTCACCTACGATGACGTTCGAATGGCTAGTAAAGCGGGTGGCGGTTTCTACAAATTCATTCTGGCCGTGATCACATTTCACGATGTGGCCCGTGAAGTTCGACCAAAACGGGAACGAGTGAAAGCACTGGAACGAGAGTATAACAAAGCAAAGCGGGATTTACAGAAACTAAATGACGAGGTGGCCAGTTTGGAGGGTATGCTGGTCTCATTGCGACGTCAGTTTAACTCGGCTCAAATGGAGATGGAGAATTTGAAGAAAGAAATGGACACCATGCGTCGTCAACTGATGGCAGCACAGAAACTAACCGAAGGTTTGGGATCTGAGAAGGAGCGGTGAGTATTTGAGACGATTCTGTTTATTATACGATCATTATAACTACCACTCACGGCAAGATTGATATGCAACGCATAATTGGGTCTTCTATACTGCGGTCGTATCTAAACAACCGTGTATGTCGCGATTTTCACAGTTTAATTTTTGTTGTCAGAAACATAAAAGGGTGATACAATATTTCAGAATGCCGGAATTTTTCATACGAATTCGATAGCATTATGTAGTGTTAATGTAAACGTTTCATTCATTGCTGGTTACCGATATAATGAGGTGAAACATTGATAAATTATCAAATGAACACTAACCTAATAACTTTCACAAAGGTTCAATAGAACAATTTTTACATTGCATACAAGTTGACAGACACCAAGGTCTGCGTATGGATTTCACCTCGAGGGAGTTCTCGTTGGTTTTGATTTACATTTATGTAATAGAACTGTCAGGTAAATAGATTAGGGCTAGTGAGTCAATAATATACATGGGACTATGGTTTGGTGAAAGTTGATTTAAGAAAGGGATAAACAGTGAATCGGATTCATCAGGTAATCCCTGCATAATGACACAGAGGTCACGTACCGAACTGTTGTCCTAAGCAAAGTTCAAACTACTGGAAGCGAACAAGACGATAGCTGTGGACCGGTGCATGATCTGCAACTTGCGGCAATGACCATGTTAGGATACCTTAGCCAGAAAGCTATCAGTTGGTCGATCGCTCTTAACGATCGAGCCAGTCTAACAAGAACAAAAGATGGAAAGATGGGTGCGCCATTCACTTCCATCTATGTGAAATTGTCGCAAAGAAACCAACAACATGAACCACGCCCAGTTCTGTTATGAGATTAGAAATCAGCTGTATATGATTGAATGTGTGGGTAACTTAATTTTTTCTTTCACCAGTACACATTTGTCAACCCAACCGGCCTTACTCGTCATAATATTTTGATCATTCCTGTTTCGGGGAATATAAAACTAAGCTGATGGTCACCGAGCCAAGGAAGGAAGTGAAGGACTCCTTCTTTGATGTACCTCGGTAAATTACTGGTGCACAGTTAAGTTTGATAGGAAAGATGTGGTGATGGACTAAACATCTTTCGAGTGTACCACTTTTATTTTCTTTGAATTGGGAATCTAGGAATTGATAGAAAAGCCGTGATTGATGTATAAAATAGAAATTTTCCATGGAAACGACTCTTAGATCACAGATCATTTTCACAATAAAAGTGAATCATTGAATTCCTTATTAATTGGTACACATATTTGTTCAATGAACATCGACCTTTCACTATCTCACCCTCCTTATTTCTCTACCAAGATGGATTCAAGAAGTCGCCTCTCTGGGTCGTGAACAAAAGTCCTTATTGGGAAACAGTTTGATCGCGTCCGCATTTCTATGCTATCTGGGACCATTTACCACCGAGTTTCGCGAACGTCTTCTAATCAGAGAATGGCTGACTCCAATAATCCAAGACGGAGTGAGCGCCCAATCTTGCCAATTTTCCTTTCAAGCTTAAACCAGCGAGAGGGCTACTGATTATTTTTTAATTACAATAATCAGTTACATTAGTAAACCATTGCATGTTAATTTTCGATAGGAAATTTGATTTTTAAGTGTGTTTCGTTTCCATTAAATGTACACGAAGGTAAACTGTTCTTCTGTATCCGCTTTTCGCTTTTTGATACTTGTTTATTCTCAACAAATATTCGAAAATACTAGGACATCATCTCTTCTCAACAATTACAATTCGTCTCTCACACGTCATTAAGTCACCATTCATGAATCTCTCCGGATACTTCAGATCCCCGTGACTGATGATCTTCAAGTCACCAAATTGTTGGGCACAGATGTAGAAGTTGCTTTGTGGAATTCACAAGGTCTCCCATCAGATGAATTGAGCATCCAGAATGCGATTTTGACCACAAAAGGACCAACCTGCCCGGTGTGCATCGATCCCCAAGGACAGGCATCGCGTTGGCTGAAAGAAATGGAACGAAACCCCAAAGACGAATCTCGTTCTATTCGTGTAAGTTAATCGATTGGTATTCATTCTACTCAAGCTGTCACTTTCATGTTGTTACCCCCTCATCCAACGATCTTTTAACAAACACGTGTTAGCTCTTCCATCAATTAAACCAGGTGTGCGATCTTGGTTTGTTTCTCCCGAGGTTGATAATCACGCCCCAATGCATTCAATCGAGTTTGTTAGTAAGATATAAACTACCAATAGAATACTTTCATTTATGGTCCAGAAACTCTCCCGAGGTTTTAATGATACAAAAGAACGGCTCCGTAAACGTTTATTTCAAAATAGCGTAAAGCTACGCGCATGTCGACCAATTTCGTACAATAATATATTTGAAACAAGCCTTTCTCGAGGTTACTTTCAAAAGAAAAGACCATATGGCAATACTGCACGATTTATGTCCAGGACGATTTCGCTGCATCTCAACATGGTGCATACTGTAGAAAATACATTGTTTATATAAGGCTTTTGTATGGCAACAAAGTAAAGCAAAATACAGAAAAAACCGACAAAACATAAAGGACGGAGGGGTATCACCAATATCACCACGGCATGGAGAGACTAAAATAAAGTTCTTTTTGCTGACACAGAGGGGACTTCCGTCGATTAGTCGCAATCGCTTCGGCAAACCTCAGCAATCTTGCGACTTGTGACTTGTAGACAATTCGAA